TTATAAATCAGTTAACGGCTATCATTATTGTATATAACAATGTTTGGAAAATAGGCCATGATGATCAATACATTGAATAAATGCAGATACGTTACACTGAATATAAACCATGAAATCCATTGAAAAATAAATAAATAAATAGATAGATAAATAAATAGATAAATAAATAAAGAGCTCTACGATACATGAAGTAATACAGTAATATCTTATATGTACTGTTTATATTTAGATAATTCAATAAAGCTCCAGATGTGACAATTAAAAATAGAACTGTTCATATCAAGTCTATAATCATTTGATTACATGAGAGTTTTAATCCGCCGCTAAAATATTAGTAAAATTACTACCATGCCTACAGTATTTTAATTACAAAAAAAAATAGTTCAATGCTCTGTCACAAAATTATTCCAGAACAAATTTGTAGAAATGGTTCTGTATAATGTCACTGTCTATTCTATAATTGATTATTAAACGTTAGCAGTCCTGTAATTATAGGAGTGTCATGATAACTTTTTAATGAATTTTCCCGGTTGCTGCAAAATGGTTTCCATTATATATATCCATCGAAAGCGGATTTCTTTACTCTTTAATTTAGTTTCGGTAAAATTGGTCCTTCGTGCTGTTGGCAAATCGTTCTTCCTTAAATTATTTGACGTCCTAAGTTGAAATCGATAGAAAATTTGTCTGTTCAGCGAATCGGGTATTTTGTTCTATTGGAAGTGCCTTCGTCGCCGATAATTCCCATTAGCCGTGATGGACTTAACGCGGAGGAGGCTCCAGATATAACAATCCTATTTCAACGGCCTACTTTTATCTTAGCAGCAGTTATGAGGAGTACAAGATCCTTCACCTTATAGCTGCATACAACAATAGATATAGGGAGAAGCCCTCTCCTAACAGGACCACGGAGGATTATACCGACATTTAATAACCATGATTGTTTACGTAACCACAACGGACAAACATGTGAACTGTACGTGACTTCCAGATAAAACCTTATTGATTTTTACCAATGACTTTTTTCCTTGTTAGTACCGAAATAATTATTAATCATTCGTATGATTGTGTACGTCCTAGATTTTCTTAAATATAGAGAAGAGGAAAGTATGGAATTCTCTTATTTATCATCATACATTGGAACATTTCTTATCAAAACTATTTCGAAATTGTTTTCTATCGATACACAAAGCTTACATTTTCTCTTTAAAAAAAGAAAGACTTGTTACATATTCTAACCAGAAGTATAAACATGTTGGCATGGACCTTTGAGGATCACAACAAACACCTGCAATTGGCGTTCATTTGAAAATAATTTCATAACGAAAATTATGACAGAATACATTTTCTTTATATTGATTTCGGCCGATTTTGAAGTTCCACAATCTCCTCGAAGATTTTAACAGTTCAGCACCCTAACTTCAATGATGAGTGCAAGTAGGAAGTAAAAGCTGCGTGATCTTTAATTTACTATTTTACTTCACTATACCTCTTCAGCTATAATGCTAAAACTGTCTTGGAATTTTCGATTCACTTGTTCGTTTTATAAACAATTATTCTAGTGGTTCGACGAAGTTCCCGAGAGCATGACAAATTCCCATAAATATGTAGACTAGGTAGCTTAACATCTTATCACTCGATATCCAGCCGTATAGTAGCCATGTTATCTGGTATATTGTGAGGCGTATGTCGACACTGAGGCATCCTATGGAAAATTATCTGGTTTCTGGGGATATTACGCCATCCTAGAGAATGTATGTTTATCTGGTTCCCTGTGTATATTAAAAAGTTATCAGATTTAAACTATAGTGCAATATGTCATTTGACGTGCGCTATAACTACTTCTGAATCCTTGAGCTGCCTCATCGCTTCTGATTTAATGGGACCTTATTGAGGAAATATTGGTGTGTCCATTTACTTATTCTGTAATATATACGTGTAACAGATGATTCAAACTCCGCTGAAGGTGCACAGAAGAAGTATAAACTGCGTCACAAGCAGTCTACTAAAAAGACGTATTTCGCCGCGCCACGCACAGTCTGCTCGACAAACATATTTCCGTTGATCGTTGTATGCTCGACATAACTAAACGCACGCTGGCATCAGTGATATCAGGTGAATATTATAAAATGATATGCTTGCCTACATAGATGTGTCCGTCATCTAGTTACATCACCGCTAATGTAGTTCAACTGTTTTTCAATTCGACTTAAGCTCAAAAGAGTTGACCAAATGGAACAGCCACCTTGACATGCTTGATGTTGCCTTCCGAATAAATAATAAATAATCACGTGGGATTTACCCGAATGTCAGTCTAGACGATATACGTTGGGGCAATGTCATGCTAATGTAAATATCAATAAATGTTGTTTAAATGATGCCATGAAATGAAAAGCTGACAAAGATAAGTGTCAAATTACTTTCAGCCTGGCAGGATGAAAAAAATTGATACCGATCACGTTATATTTGATGTTTAATTAGATTCATTGTGATTAGTGAACAGAATAATAGTTATTACATATCAATGTGTGGTGCATTATTTGTGATAACATTTCCTCCCGATTCAAGATCACAATTAGTTATATTAGATCCGTATAATTTCTACTAAGTTTATCAAATCCTTTCCACAGCGACCAGAAGTTCAGGTCAATAAATCATAAATGGCCATTGAACGCCTGTAAAATTCCGCTACTACTTGTGTGCTCTAAATCAATATGGGAATGCCAAAGTGTGAACAAAAATATAATCTAAATTCAAATAAAACTAGGGCAAAAATATGAACAAAAGATAGATTTACATGAGGAATCCTTAAAAAGGAACAAGGAGAATTAGATCAGGTATTTCGGAAGAGTAAGCGTCTGTTGCTTCATCCACGACACCTGACTTGCAAATTTTTGTCAAAGTAAGTAATGTCGCGTCCTCAGATGAGAACATGGTATATAACATCAAACATGTCCAGCCTCGTATCTGCTTAAGAATAGATTGTTTCTCAGTGAAATTACAAATGTCGATTGTTAAACATCCTTATATTCCTCGAGCCCCTGTGTTTTGAGCTTTCGCAAATAAAATTCTAAAAGATACAACAATGGAACCAACAGACAAACTAAAGAAAATAAACAGGTGCATCTCCATATCGCACAAAGAAATAAAATATTTGTCAGTGAAATCACTTTGACGACTGTAAACCTTTCATAAAATTTTCACCAACCTGCATCTTTTGAAACCTTGTGGTATGAGTTCGTCAGTCAGTTGACGATATTGGGAAAAGGCCCTTGAATATAGAATTAACTGCAACTTGTAAGCACCATAGGTTCGGGATGCAGGAATGCTGATATCAACAAATGGAAAATTCACAATAGGAAAATGGAAATCATTATGCATATCAAAACAACTTGAAAGTTGAAAGCTGTTCATGTTGGTTTCGTTGCAGGGAAAGATTGAGATAAGTGGCTGAGAGAGAAGAATCTGTCTAGTCCTTGATATCCAGTTCTGTTCGGTATATACGATGGACGTGGTCAATATATTTTTCTTATTTGAAGACTAGACGTCATGAGTATATCTGAAAGTGAAAGTAAGCGACATTGCAAGGTCTTTGTGACCTGTTTAGATAAGCTCTACGAAAAAATCTACCTCATATGAAAACAAAAGTGCACAGGAAATTTCCGTATTTATCCTCTTTCTTCTTTGACATATTTTTCACTAAATACGCTTCAGCATAGTTCACCACCTTATCTGTTGAATAAAATACAAAGTAATCAGATTTTGTTAAACTTAATATGAATTTATAACATTATCTCATCATGTACAATTGTACCTGCTAATTTTATATGGATAAAGATGATCAAACCCCAATATTACATATAACTAGCCATCATCAACAACACAGAAAATATAATACATCAATTGTCATTATCAGTAGTATCAAAAATATTATTTATAACTTATCAGGGATACCGAACATGTATATAATTCATAATCATCAGTAATATCGAAAATATTATTTATAACTTACCATTATCAGTAATATCGAACATATATATAATTAATCATTATCAGTAATATCAAAAATATTATTTATAACTTACCAATATCAGGAATACCAAACATGTATATAATTCATTATTATCAGGAATACCGAACATGTATATAATTCATCATCATCAGTAATACCGAAAATATTATTTATAACTTGCCAATATCAGGGTTACATGTATATACTTAATAATAATAATCAGTAATATCGAAAATATTAAATTCAACTAACCATTATTTGTGATACAGAAGATATATCTAACTTACCTTTGTCAGTACTGACAAAAAAAAACATATAACTTACCGATATCAGCGATAACAAGAGATTGTTTTTTTTAAAAATTGTGGTGGCTTGCCACACTTATTATGTATTACCGTTATATATACAAGTTATGATTAACATGAATGGTTATTTTAAGGTAATTTGAAATAAGGCCATTTCTAAACATAAACACCCATACTGTTCGGGAGAGACATAAGAGAAGTCTGCGTTAGGAGCATGTTTCCACCAGAACATCTATGTTTCCATATGGTTACGAATTCTTATACAATGTCGTAAATGCCGGGATGTATTCTGCCTGATAGAATCATAATAACGGTTGGCTGAGCATTGTATTTTATTTAATAGTTTTCTCTGTAAGCATTGATATGTAAATTGATAATAGGGAATGTATACTCTTATGTTGACTGGACATGATGTCTCGTCTTTGTGGATTTGGGTGATTCTGATCATGTCCCAACACTAACCATACTTAGGTGAAGTCAGCACTACTGGAACCTCGCATTTCATATAAAACCAGATGGAAGCTTTTAAATTGGACACGATGCTGACATTCTAATCATTATTATATTGACTTAAAGAGGTTTTTATCGACTTATTTGTATATTCATCGTATCGATTTTGTGTATTCCAGATTCCTCATCAGTATGTGTGTTGACGTCACGTCCGGTTGATTTTCTAAACCCTCACTATGATGGTTGATTGTGACTCCTCCCCAGATCACACGCCCTCTAGGGAGTCGGACTCCTCGGAAGTTAGGGCGATATTATGGGGCAGGCTTGGAAGACGGCTCGAGGAAGGCACAAACGAAACTCCGTCTATTTCAGAGCAGACGGCGCCGACATCCGGAACTGCACGTCCGCCATCTATAAAGCGACCAACACGATTAAGTGATGAATGGAATGAGCTTCGGAGACTGCGAGGCAGTCCTGATGGTCAGGATAACGTTTCGATTCCGTCGCACAGAATGGAAAGCAGACGTTCCATTTGGAAGAATTTCATATCCCTGTGCACAAGTTTGATGTGTGCTTTTATTTCATTCCTGCCGTTACGTAACATTCAGAGTAGTCTGTATACCAACTACCATCTAGGCACTTTATCGCTGGCTGTTATTTACGGTAGTTTTATTATCGGATGTGTAATGTCCTCCTGGATTGCTCAGAATGCCAGGCCAAAAGGTCTCATCCTCGTTTCCGTCTTCAGTCACGTGTTATTTGTGGCGGCAAATATGTTCCCATCATTCATTACGTTGATTCCTACTTCCTGTCTCTTTGGATTTCTTCAAGCACCGTTGTGGTCAGTTCAAGAACTTCTGATTGGTAGCTACGGAACGAGTTATTCGGCCGTCACTGGAATGAGAATGGAGCGATCTATTCAACAATTCCAGGGGGTATTTGTAATATTTTGTCACTCAGCGCAAATATTCGGAAACCTCTTGGAGTCGCTCGTGTTAGGTATGGACGATATTACCACAAACACAATGTTTCACGGGAACTACTCAAGCTATTTACGGGAAGAATCCTTGGCCAATAACTGCACATCACCTTGCCAAACAGCAATGACATATTCCTACCACGTGTTCGGGTACGAAATATTCCCCAATACAATGTTACTAGATGGCAGATTACACCAGGTGGAAATACTAAAAATAATCTTCCTGGCAATTGGCTGTGTGTCTGTTACTTTGGTAGGGCTTTGTTTACGGAAACCTGACATTATTTTGAACAAAAGAAAAATGTGTTTAAAGGAAAAGGTTCAAGAAAGTTTAAGCTTCTTTAAGACGAAGACATTCCTCATGCTTGGATTATTGATGATATTTACCGGCATGCAACAGGGCATCGTAATTAACGACGTCACTAAGGTCAGTATGACAATGAAATCAATCGAGACAATGAAAAATGCATAGGCTCAAATACTCAAAATACCCTTCACCATGTAATCGCCACTTTTTTTCGAATATTGAAGATATTGTTTTTTGTGATAGCATCTGTTTCACGTGTAGCGAAGCTAACGAAACGACTTGAGAAATGTGCGAGTTGTTCAGTCTATGTAATCTGTTCGATAATGTTAGAATTGTGATACTGTACTCAAGAAATACCCATTCTGAACACACTCTCTTCTATAGGAGTATTTTATTTGTTCCACTCTTTACACTTTCATCACTCATTACAAGCTAGAGAAGCGCCTTCGTTCTCTTGTTATGATAGCTATTCTGTGAAAAATACATTCTAAGAAGAAATATGTGTAGTATTACATCAATTATGTTCGAATTTCCCATTGATGATATCTTTCACAGGTTTGGTTGACATTTTTTTCAAACACAGTTCTTATATACCTGCTGGAACATAACTGTGCCCTCTCTTGGCTAACTCGGCTTTGATTTCATAAGAGGCTTAACTTATCAGAGAGATTTTCAAAACACGTCATAAAGACCTTACAAAATTCTTAAATTCACATAAAGATGTATAGACCATTTTTGGATAGCAATATGCTTGTATCTCCAATGTGTGGTGTTTACATGTGGCAGTCGATATACAAAAAGCTTGGTCACATTATCACATTTTTCCGTGCAGATATCGGTAAATGACAGAGAATAGAAGATTACGCGGACGTCTTATGGCGGTCATTATGATTTCATTGACAAAAAAAATTATATTTCCTTGAGCAACACGACTTTGGACATATTTGATGCCCCTTAGAAGTTTGATGGTTGCGTTGACGGTAACATTTTTCCTTATTTGGGAACATGGCATTCCTTCACTGGATTTACCAAGGTTTACACGGTGAAACGAAAGACACCTACCCTTCCAGAACACTTGGTCTCATACCCCTTAATTTTTCAGTAGCCTCAATGTAAGATTTTCTTTCGTTCATATTTCGACCTACTTTCATCGATTCTGGGTTTGAGAAATTCCAGTTTGCCACAGCGTTATTTCTTAGCGTGTTGATACCCTCTAAGTAACCTAGGTAATCAGCATCAGTTATCTTGTTGACCACACATACGGTTGATACCCGATAAAGCACGTTTCGTATTTCATTTCATGCAAACGTCCCTATTCATGTTTAGAAACGAACGTGACGTTTACATGGTATTGATTTTAGGACTGTCTTAACGGCCTCACCATGCTAATTACAGGTACAATCAGGTGGATGGAGCTAGCGCGATCTCTAAAAAAGGCTTCAATAAACCTCGCGATGAGACAGCACATTTCTCTACATCCTGGTGAAATATTATCATGGTAATGAGACAAGAAAGCCTCTAATTAACATTGAGAATTTACTCCTTCGCCGTTGTTAAAATGATGAAAAAGTATACACATCTTCTATAATTTATCTAAAGCAAAGGCTTCGGTCCGCTATTGAAGAGCTGAATTTAGAGGGCTTCAAACGAAACCTACTGTGTAATACATAGTCATGTATTTGGAAGTGTGAAATGGTGGTATTCAACGTAGTTTAAATTACAAATTCAGATACGCTCATCAGTTCAGTAAACGTGGACATCTCGATACTACTGAAGTACGCTGATCAGTTCAGTAAACATGGAGATCTCGATACTTCTGAAGTACGCTGATCAGTTCAGTAAACGTGGACATCTTTATACTACTGAAGTACGCTGATCAGTTCAGTAAACGTGGACATCTTGATACTACTGAAGTACGTTGATCAGTTCAGTAAACGTGGTGATCCCGATACTACTGAAGTACACTGATCAGTTCAGTAAACGTGGGCATCTCGATACTACTGAAGTACGCTGATCAGTTCAGTAAACGTGGACATCTTGATACTACTGAAGTACGCTGATCAGTTCAGTAAACGTGGTGATCCCGATACTACTGAAGTACACTGATCAGTTCAGTAAACGTGGGCATCTCGATACTACTGAAGTACGCTGATCAGTTCAGTAAACGTGGACATCTCGATACTACTGAAGTACACTGATCAGTTCAGTAAACGCTGACATCTCGATACTTCTGAGGTACACTGATCAGCTCAGTAAACTTGGAGATCTCGATACTAATGAGGTATACTTTTGGAGATCATTCAATTCAGTAAGCAATGTGTGATGAAAAATTAGGTTTGCAACATACTAAGACATTACAGAATAGTAAATATCTCAGTAATTTATAATCCTATTTCAATAGTCCACAAGCAAAAGCAACTCTCAATCAAGTGCTCCTAGTCTTACCAGTGCACCTGTTAACGACCAATTGATAATGAATAAACTCAACAAACTACACATTACTGCTATTATCTCTAAAGTACAAAGTGTTTTACCTTAAAAGGTGAGCATATAAATTATTAAACCAGGTAACGATTATTTCTAGTATTGTACGTAAAAGGCATCTTCACTTAACAGAGACTTAGATCAACACTATAGTGATGGTTAAATCAGGGTGTTAATAAGATCTCCATCAGATTCTGGTCGCCCTCCCATTGGTATAGATTGATATTAGAGACTGGAAAATTAAGAATCATGAAAAAAATCTTTGGTAAACTGTAGACGATTGCTGTCATGTTCAAATAGATGTTTTCTTCACATATTAAAGGTATTTACTAAGTACTTTACTCATGATTAATTCCCTGATGATATTTAGAAGTCCTGGTGGTTTTTCATGTATATCACGCACTATTAACATTTTGCATTATCATTAAACTCTTAATTGGTAATATCTTTGTACAAATCTTTAGGATTGCAGATGGAAGACACTGCTGTGTAGTCATCGAGTGAAGCCTTAAAGACCAAATTTTAATTTATTTTAATAGCTACAATGTTCATAATTGATAATCTTTTGAAGTTATCCAATGCCAAAAATTAAAACATCTGTTGTGATACGGATGGTTCTTCTCATCTACAATGTATATCTCGACATTTACTTCACCATTGATCGCTTCTTTAGTTGTTATGCTTTATCATGAAATACATATTGTAACTATATAACGTACTGCTTTTAAATTTGAAGTTCTTTCCTTTCCAAATATTAGAATCGTATTAGGTTGCCGTATCTGCTGTTTTGCTGGACATATTGAAAAACTTTAAAAATCAACACCACTTCGAATGCTCTAGTAAGACAGTAGTCCTGTAGAAAAAACAATGTCTTTGACCTATCAGTTGTGGTGTTTCTAAATGCTTAATTATTAATCGATTGCTTTTTGTGTTCTGTGATATCTCATGAACGACAAGCCCGCCTCCTTGTATTAAGTAATAGACTGTGTCTAGAATGTGTAATGCTCACCAAAGCTTTCTAGTTCTGGTTCATAAAGGAAATCAATTGTAACATTCCGCGTATCGATTTTACCACCAGGTCACTAGGTGCATTTTACTTATCAAATACATCTCCGTAAACAAAGGGTTTTCCTGACGGTGACATACTTGAAACTAGTACACAATATGTCACTTGGTTCACATTAATAAGTCATATAAAGTTTAGTCCCAGGAGAAAAAAAGTGTAGTTGAAAAGGTAACGAATAATGAATATGGATAAGCAAAAATGTTATCACTGTTCAAAATGGAAGCCTAAGATGGTTTCAAAAAAGTTACCACGATCTAAATTGTTACAGTTAAGTTGAACACCTAACTGCAGCGATCTCCTCTATGGATACGTTTCATTATCACAGACAACAAAAAAATTCCAATCACCCTGATGCACGTAATTCAGCGAAATTGTAATCAACATCCGGCTGGAAGTCATGCATTGTTGTCTCCGCGTACCATTGCTATCAGCATGAGCATGCCTTGTTGTCATGGAAATATCCAATACATAGCGGCGATGATTATATAATAAATGTTGGAAATGTTGATATAAAAAAATCTGATTATTTTTCACGCCAGTTTATGCAGTTAAATGATAAATGGTCCTCTGGATTTATCCCGAGCTCGGAATACCTAGCCAATAAACATCCATTTGGACAATTTCTACGCCTCTTTAGAGATAACATTCACCCATCTTTAATGCATCTTTGCCAAAAGGAACCAAATGTATGAAATGAAGGAGGACGTCTATCAGGGATGATAAGATGATAGAAATGGATTGGAGCGTTTGAAGTACAGTTTTTCCTGTAACACTGTAACATCCGTAATGTCGTATGTAAGAAGGAAAATTAAGCTGTGTATTGTATAAATAAAAGTTGTAATCAGCTAGCAGATAAAGGATAAAGTAGTAAAATGATCGACAAGTTAACTTCAGATCGTTGTTACATATGAAATAAAAATGTAATCGAACTAACGTTTTTTATATTCGGTTCCAAATTCTGGAGGAGTTAGTCATTAAACGAAAACAGTAACGGGTTAAAAGAATTTTCTCTAAAAGTGAATGTTTTATTTAGGGCAATTGAACACATAATTAAAATCTTCAATAAACCACTATGATGATTTTCAATTATGTTTACTGGGTCAGATTATGTATACATAAACGTAAACGATCGTAAAAGGCTATTTTTCAATTTGCCATCCTTAACTTACCAAAGTACAATACAGAAGTTTAATATGTACCAATTCTCCCTTTCTATAATTTCTCCTCACTACCCTTTGTATGGTCAGTTGTCGTTTCACGTAGAGAATGGGTGAAACGAGAACATGCTACGTTTGATTCAGTTTTGGAGTGGGTAAGATCCATTCAGTAAATCATAGTAAAAATAATTCGCAGCTTGAGGTCTACAAATTACGAAGTAAATCCCACCTAAACATTATGCAATCTTGCCAAAGAAGAAATACTGACTAATCGTGCTTTACAATAATTTAGAATGCTTATCGATGATAAGGAAACGGACCTTCTCCGTTTACATTGGATTTTTTTAACTTCACAAAAATCCATATTAACACCCTATTATTCAACCAAACAACTTACATAAAATAATTTGTAATTCTATTTCCAAGAAAGGAGGACGCGATGCAAATACATGGTTGTGAACTGTACTGTAGCGTGTTGTTTTTTTCAAATATACTTCCAAATCTAGGAAGAAATAATTAGAGGACGAAATCATAAAAATTGTCGAGTTTCTGGTTGACGCCATCATCGTTGAATTTGTAGGTAAGATCCTCTAACAGACTATTGGCATCCCTATGGGAACTGATTGTACCCCTCTGTTGACTGACTTGTTTTTGTTTCGTACGAGGCTGAATTTATGGAAGAACTTATCAAAACATATCTCAAAGTCCTTGTAAAGGTGTTTAATATCACTTTCATATATATTGACTACGTTTTGTTTTTAAATAATTCGAAAATTATTGACCACGTCCATCGTATATAAACAATAGAATTGGAAGTCAAGGAAACGACAGACTCTTCGATCTTTTTCTACAACGAAACTAACATGGACAGCTTTCCAGCGAGCTAAATAACAAGCGTGATGATTATTATTTCCTTATTTGGAATTTTTCATTTCTGGATAGCAACATGCCTGTATCCCATTTAGGTTTAATGTCTAAAAGTCGGTTCAATATTTTAAAAGAGCATTTGTCTGTCTAGGTATACGGGACGAACGGACTAGGACTGTCCATGGTCGGATACTTCATGATGTGTTATGGAACTTGTCAGCTTGCTACCCTGCTTGTGCTGGAGAGGTTTCAGAAGCGGGTTAAGCCCATAATCTTCGTCCTAAAAGGTAAGTTCCTATACACCAAAGCGCAAATAGTTCAGAACATACACATGAACTGGGTACTAACTTAAAAGTACCATATATTTGAAAAATGCGAAAGTTATTGAATTATGGTACCTTACCGTTCGAATTATAACTTTTTGCTTTTAACCGATTTCACACTACATCCATCGATGAATTAATTTACTGTTACATTGTACAGACTTTTATCAATGTATGAACTTTACAGGTACACTCGTTCTCTATAATATAATAATACCTAGAACAAGAAGTCACGTCCACATCACACATAATAAGTTTTAGTTCTAATTGATACTGAGGCACGTAGCATCAATCTCTATGGATACACATTATTTGTCGATTTGGACAAAAAGAAACGACATGCTTTAAAAATTATCGTAACTTCACTGAGCTGAATGACATTCTAACTGTAGAAACAAATGAGGTGACTGAGAAAAACCAAAACGGTCATATAACTTAACGATAACAATCTTATACTATATTACATCAGTTAATACGAAATCGTGTGGTCACGTCAAAATTGATCTGATGGTTGTTTTCTGACATTTATTTCCAATAATTTGGAATTTCCTCTATCAACGCACAGGTTCCTTCAGACCCTTAGCATTACTTACGTGTCCTCGTAGGCAAAAACAGCTGTATGAAGTAGATTATAACAATTTCTATACTGTATCTTATTTTACATTTGTAGGGTGCTACATACTGGTTTAAGAATCGATTATATGAAAATCTTAACACCAGGTCTGAAATATAGACCATCACCCATGTAATTGTACACTATTTAGATTATATCACTGAAGATCTGTACCACCAATAACTATAGATATATTTATATACACTAACACTCTCAGGCGTTGTTCACCTAGTGTGAAAGTGCACACGGCGCTGCAGTGGAATCTTTACATGTTTAACAAGGATCTTTAAAGATGGTAAATCACCGCTTATCATAAATTCTTACTTGATTATTGTTCCTTAAAGTACAGTCGTTTTAACACCAATGATTAAGCCACATCAAATTCTACAGAAGAGAGGAAAATTACGTTATCTTTTTGTCGGATTTCATGATTCTTCGAAAATTGGCAATTTGGAAGATTTTAATCGGTAATTATTCTTCCATTTTTTTCGTTTCAGGAAGACCCCATCTTTGTAATCGATTATTAACAGCAGTTTCATGACCTGGATATATTTTTTCCTGTCGCTACTTCAGATAAATCAATTTACGGCCAATAATAACCAAATAGAAACGCTTCCAAGCGTTAATAATGATGTTTTCACCGTCGTGTGAAATACAATACCCATCCATCAGATATCACCCATTACATTAAGTGGAAAACTGTGTACATTGGAATAACATCGTCTTTATGCATTGTAGCTCAAATAAAGAATGAATCAAAATTACACAACAAGCAAAAAATATATCAAATACTGAAGGAAAGATAATGGCACTTGTGTCTTTTGTACAATTATGTAGTTAACAAGTACCCTATTCGGCGGGATAAATCTTGACTTTAGAGTGTTTCAGTGATATACGTGTCCCCTGAGTTTACTAATAAATAACTCGCTAATATTACCATCCATATCGATTCTTATTATTCTCACATATAATCATCAATGCAAAATGGATGTTTTGTTTCCCACAAATTTGTCTTTGTACCAAATTGATTTCACGTCGTCAACACGTGAAATAGCTACATATCAAAAGGTATTGCGTGATTTTCTGTTTTCATAGTTTTCAGTCCATAATATATCATTATTTCATTATAAGTTTTTTCTCGTTAATTGTAATATTGACTCTGTATAAGAAGTCAATTAATCTTTATTTTGAGGTGTCTTTCCTGTAGGATAAATTTTGATACGGTCTATTACAGGAAATCTTTTCTTGTCCGCCATGAAAACTTTCACGTGATCAGGTTTATAGAGGATATCCAATGCCTTGCTGTTGAAAAGTATATACCCCGATAGTAATATTTTTTCCAAAATATATCGACATATTCTGTCATACAAATGAGTATTTGATCTTCAACATGTAATCTTTCTCCCTTTTGTTACTACATCAAAGAAACAAAAAACCCGCTCTTTAAAACGTACTACAAATATGTGTCTATACATGCTGAATCTTTGATGTTATGACATGACAGCGGAAATGAAGCTGTGTTATACTGGTTTCTGGTGAAAATTGCCCGCAAATTTAATTAGGAACACCTCTACTTATTTAAGCTTCCCTTCATTTGTCAGGAAAGAAATATTGAGTAGTGAATCCTTAGATGAAATATTGACTGGTAAATCAAATGTGGCATCCCATATACTGATACCAGTGTGACATGTAAACTACTGATACATAGAACAGACTCTGGTGTAGGGAATCAACTGTGACATGTAAACTACTGATACATAGAACAGACTCTTGTGTAGTGAATCATTGTGACATGTAAACTACTGATACATAGAACAGACTCTGATGTAGTGAATCTACTGTGACATGTAAACTACTGATACATAGAACAGACTCTGGTGTAGTGAATCAACTGTGACATGTAAACTACTGATACATAGAACAGACTCTGGTGTAGTGAATCAACTGTGACATGTAAACTACTGATACAAAGAACAGACTCTGGTGTAGTGAATCAACTGTGACATGTAAACTACTGATACATAGAACAGACTCTGGTGTAGTGAATCAACTGTGACATGTAAACTACTGATACATAGAACAGACTCTGGTGTAGTGAATCTACTGTGACATGTAAACTACTGATACATAGAACAGACTCTGGTGTAGTGAATCTACTGTGACATGTAAACTACTGATACATAGAACAGACTCTGGTGTAGTGAATCAACTGTGACATGTAAACTACTGATACATAGAACAGACTCTGGTGTAGTGAATCAACTGTGACATGTAAACTACTGATACATAGAACAGACTCTGGTGTAGTGAATCATTGTGACATGTAAACTACTGATACATAGAACAGACTCTGGTGTAGTGAATCTACTGTGACATGTAAACTACTGATACATAGAACAGACTCTGGTGTAGTGAATCAACTGTGACATGTAAACTACTGATACATAGAACAGACTCTGGTGTAGTGAATCTACTGTGTCTTGTAAACTACTGATACATAGAACAGACTCTGGTGTAGTGAATCAACTGTGACATGTAAACTACTGATACATAGAACAGACTCTGGTTTAGTGAATCTACTGTGACATGCAAACTACTGATACATAGAACATACACTGGTGTAGTGAATCAACTGTGACATGTAAACTACTGATACATAGAACAGACTCTGGTGTAGTGAATCTACTGTGACATGTAAACTACTGATACATAGAACAGACTCTGGTTTAGTGAATCTACTGTGACATGTAAACTACTGATACATAGAACAGACTCTGGTTTAGTGAATCAACTGTGACATGTCAATTTCCTAATAATCAAACCAGATTCAATATTGAATTAGCATCATACTCTATAGACATAGCCGATTGTGAAATACGAACTTTTGTGGTATAATTTGGAATGGAATTTGAAAGAGAGATGATTATCATCACGAAACTTCTTAAATGAAGTAAGATAATATCATTCACTAGAATTGGCAATATATTGTATTATAGTTTTAGGTATGAAAGTTCAAGGTACAATAATGAATAAATGGGCATTATTTCATTTATTTAAAATTTTGAAGCATTTTGACATTTTAAACACCGGTTTGTACTGGTTTTGGTGTAAACGAAAGCCACTCCTGTGTTGCTAACCACGTAACCACCAGCAAACGGCTACCCGGCATGTCGTGAGTTTTCTGTTCTGTCTCGACCTGTAACATTTCCTAATTGTAGAGGTCCACTGTCATGTAAAATTACCTCCAAATATCTCACAGCGTCTGAGTTCGTCTGGCTGTCTGCTTAAATGACACTGAAGATTATTATTGAACCCAAGTGGAGGAAATTGGCAATATATGAACAATTTCCCAGTAGAGTTGGTGTACATTGATTAACTGCATTAAAACCTTTATACAATAAAAACGCGTACAGATCTGGCTTTGGTACAACATTTAACTATTTATTGGCCACAGTTGTACTAAGTACCCGAACATAGGACTTTTTCGACATAAAAGTTCCATTGGCAAGCATCTCAATGTTTGAAAAAATGTCCAAAGAATTTTTTGGTAACTTTTCATGACAGGTTTACTGACATTGAAAATACCACTTTTCCTTTCCATCACAAGTTTTCTGACATTTACTCCAATTATCCTTTTCCCTGACGTTTACTGCCATAGATGACCACATTTCCTTTTTCTGACAGATTTTCTAACTCCACATTTCCTTTTTCTAGCAGTTTTTTCTGACATTGATGACTCCACTTTTCCTTTTTCCGACAGGTTTTTTGACATTGATAACCCAACTTTTCCTTTCCTTTACAGATTTTCTGGCAATGATAACCACACTTTTGCTTTTTCCGACAGATTTTCTGACATTGATAACCCCACTTTTCCATTCCTTAACAGATTTTCTAACATCGGTAAGCACACTTTTCCTTTCCTTTACAGATTTTCTGACATTGATAACCACACTTTTCGTTTCCTTTACAGATTTTCTGACATTGATAACCACACTTTTCCTTTTTTCTGACATTGATAACCACACAGATTTTCTGACATTGATAACCACACTTTTCCTTTTTCCGACAGATTTTCTGACATTGATAACCACACTTTTCCTTTTTCCGACATTTTCTGACATTGATAACCACACTTTTTCTTTTTGACATTGACATTGATAACCACAACAGATTTTCACATTGATAACCACACTTTTCCTTTTTCCGACAGATAACCACATTTTCTGACATTGATAACCACACTTTTCCTTTTTCCGACAGATTTTCTGACATTGATAACCACACTTTTTCTTTTTCCGACAGATTTTCTGACATTGATAACCACACTTTTCCTTTTTCCGACAGATTTTCTGACATTGATAACCACACTTTTCGTTTCCTTTACAGATTTTCTGACATTGATAACCACACTTTTCCTTTTTCCGACAGATTTTCTGACATTGATAACCACACTTTTCCTTTTTCCGACAGATTTTCTGACATTGATAACCACACTTTTCCTTTCCTTTACAGATTTTCTGGCAATGATAACCACACTTTTGCTTTTTCCGACAGATTTTTTGACATTGATAACCCCACTTTTCCATTCCTTAACAGATTTTCTAACATCGGTAAGCACACTTTTCCTTTCCTTTACAGATTTTCTGACATTGATAACCCCACTTTTCCATTCCTTAACAGATTTTCTAACATCGGTAAGCACACTTTTCCTTTCCTTTACAGATTTTCTGACATTGATAACCCAACTTTTCCTTTTTCTGACAGATTTTCTGACATTGATAACCACACTTTTCCTTTTTCCGACAGATTTTCTGACATTGATAACCACGCTTTTCCTTTTTCCGACAGATTTTCTGACATTGATAACCACACTTTTCCTTTCCTTTACAGATTTTCTGATATTGATAACCACACTTTTCCTTTTTCCGACAGATTTTCTGACATTGATAACCACACTTTTCCTTTCCTTTACAGATTTTCTGGCAATGATAACCACACTTTTGCTTTTTCCGACAGATATTCTGACATTGATAACCCCACTTTTCCATTCCTTAACAGATTTTCTAACATCGGCACACTTTTCCTTTCCTTTAAGATAACCACACTTTTCCTTTTTCCTTTACAGATTTTCTGACATTGATAACCACACTTTTCCTTTTTCCGACAGATTTTCTGACATTGATAACCACACTTTTCCTTTTTCCGACAGATTTTCTGACATTGATAACCACACTTTTCCTTTTTCCGACAGATTTTCTGACATTGATAACCACACTTTTTCTTTTTCCGACAGATTTTCTGACATTGATAACCACACTTTTCCTTTTTCCGACAGATTTTCTGACATTGATAACCACACTTTTCGTTTCCTTTACAGATTTTCTGACATTGATAACCACACTTTTCCTTTTTCCGACAGATTTTCTGACATTGATAACCACACTTTTTCTTTTTCCGACAGATTTCCTGACATTGATAACCACACTTTTCCTTTTTCCGACAGATTTTCTGACATTGATAACCGTCATCTTTCCTTTTCCTTCCAGGTTTCCTGATTTCGCTGGGCCTGCTTATCTTACTGTATGTGTGGGAGCCTGTTGACGACTGCGTCTACACCGTCCTTGGCTACATGGCTCTCTGGGGAGCGGTCGATGCTGTCTGGCAGTCCCAAGTTCAAAGTAAGTATTGACCACTGTTCAAAGTTTACGTAAATTTAACTGCTAATCTGTCAAAACTAGACACAGTCAAATGCAGCTTTCACATAATACACTGACAGATGACCATAAAGAAAATGCGCCATAATGATCTACCAGTAGGTCACACTTGTGGCGAAGGTTCTATACATCCTCACCTATTCTAGCAGTTCAGCATTTCTACACAGTGTACCAAGAAACAGACACCATTTCTCAGTATGTTTGTTATAAATGTAAAGTATTAGAATTTCTGGGGAGGTTATGTTTTGTGTATTATTTAAACTACCAGCAAACGTCTTCGTCATAGCCTTATCAACCGCAAGTTTTATTTATTATTCCTCACAAGAAAATCCTTCTTTAACTGTTATTTTCAATTCGTCAGAGATACAAACAATGTCCTTCATTATAGATGTTTTTTACTGTTTCATTAACATTATCAAATTTACTGAAAATTATTGCATGATCTATCAGTATGTTTGAATTTAGTATACACGGGTGTATATACCCGAGTCTGAATATCTTGTTCACGGACACTACACAGCTTATCGATTCTGTCTCAGTGTATCGGAGTCCGGATTAAGTATATACGGATGTTTATACCCGAGTCTGAATATCTTGTTCACGGACACTACACAGCTTATCGATTCTGTCGCAGTGTCTCGGAGTCTAGATTAAGTATATACGGGTGTTTATACCCGAGTCTGAATATCTTGTTCCCGAACACTACACAACTTATCGATTCTGTCGCAGTGTCTCGGAGTCTGGATTAAGTATATACGGGTGTTTATACCCGAGTCTGAATATCTTGTTCCCGAACACTACACAGCGTATCGATTCTGTCGCAGTGTATCGGAGTCTGGATTAAGTATATACGGGTGTTTATACCCGAGTATGAATATCTTGTTCCCGAACACTACACAGCGTATCGATTCTATCGCAGTGTCTCGGAGTCCGGATTAAGTATATAGGGTGTATATACCCGAGTCTGAATATCTTGTTCCCGAACACTACACAGCGTATCGATTCTGTCGCAGTGTCTCGGAGTCCGGATTAAGTATATACGGGTGTTTATACCCGAGTCTGAATATCTTGTTCCCGAACACTACACAACTTATCGATTCTGTCGCAGTGTCTCGGAGTCTGGATTAAGTATATACGGGTGTTTATACCCGAGTCTGAATATCTTGTTCCCGAACACTACACAGCTTATCGATTCTGTCGCAGTGTCTCGGAGTCTGGATTAAGTATATACGGGTGTTTATACCCGAGTCTGGATATCTTGTTCCCGAACACTACACAGCTTATCGATTCTGTCGCAGTGTATCGGAGTCCGGGTTAAGTATACACAGTCGTATTGCCAATTCTGAACATCCTGCCTTATCTGGATAACAGAGTAATAACTATCGCTAGATCTCGGTTCATCGAATTCCACTGAGATTGTAAAAACATATTTTATGACTGAACCGTCATCGCAATTAATCAGTTGTGATGGAAAGACCCAGGGGGCCAGATAACGTCATTAATTGAAATGGAAGTTTAAAAGGATGTTGATCGATCGGTTCTGCAGGATGTATGTCTTACGCGGACAGCGTTATGTCTATAGCAATAAGCTACTATCGAATGTATAGTATATCTGACAATATAACAAACACGCGTACATTTAGATGGGTTCAGACAGAAAGCAATAAGAGAAGAAAGCATGGGCCATTGAATAGTGCAATTGAAGGGGACAAGAATCGTATATATATTGTATAATAATCCAACTATATTTGTCAATAAAGTTCTATGTAAAGCTGTTATAAAGCTATTCATACAATTAACCTCTACAGTCTGCAGATGTCTCGTAATACCCCGATGTATAACATCTTCCAGTATTTTACGTGTAAATGCTTGTTAATACAATAACAAAAAAGCACACTGGTTTCAATAGCATAAAGCGAAACAATATAAACGCGATGAGAATAAGTGTTCCGCAAGGGTAAGAACCTTCTGCTTCCATAAAAACAATATCTTTGACAAAACCAAGTAAATAATGTCACGTTCCCAAATGAGGACTATGTTAACAACACCAAAACCATTATACATATCAATGAGCAGCAAACGTCTTTCATAGCAATATTTCTCCATAGTCTGCATCATTCTATAGTAAACCTATGAGACGCAGACAGTGATATTTTAATGTGGAAAAATAACAACATATTCCTCCAGTTAATTTACTGGGATGCAAAAGCGTGATTAAAGTGACACAAATCTAATTTCCTTTGGTTTATTTTCAGACATTCTCGTATCCAACGTAACTCGAAAAGAACCCGCCATCATTGGTTTCCGGATCTGTCAAGGCTTTGGACTGACCGTCGTGTTCCTAGCGTCCATCTGGCTCTCCCTTCTCTACAAACTATGTTTGGTTTGTGGAATCCTTATCATGGGCGTGCTTGGATACATGATCTTGGAAATCAACAACAATCCTATGACTCCACTGGAACCAAGACCTTTCAGCGTCTGAAAAGTGGCACAACTGAACCTTCTAATGGAGGTTTCCGTGAATCGAAACCATGAAGGTTTAACAGTTAGCGGCTGCAACTGAGAGGCAACTACTGCCTTCGGACTCTAAAGTAAATGCAGTCTGTAACCACGAACCTCGACTTTACTCCTGAAACTAGATCGTTCAGGGTCTGGTGAGTGATTGATGGACATGAATAGTTTGCATTTCTCTAGGGTCTATAGAATCACTATAACATCTATTGATCGACGGCATACAATGCCGTGATACATATTTAAAAAGGGCCCGTTTTTACAATCCCAGGACAACCATGAATGAAATTCATGAAACATTCAGAAAAAGATATATCGACCGAACTAACAGGGACCTTTGAATGAATTTACATGAGCCGTCATGTAAAGTCTCATAGTGTGAGCGTGGAATCCTCCTGAACCAGGGAAAATCGTAAACTGGTCGATTTACCAGTAACAAGGAGTTGAGTATCAACAATATGGAACATATAAAGACAAATGTAACGAGTACGTTTTGGTACTCCAGTGCTCTCAGACGAATCTAAAGGGACGATTTAGCTGTAGACAAATATGTGATAGGTGAGACATCGTTCACCGAGTATCCTTGCGATACACTTTGTAAGGGAGTGTTGTTCGACACGATGTGAAATGACCAGATTCGTGTTGATGGTATTTGTGTATTTTTGTCTGTTCTTTGCGTAGGATGGATAAAGAAAGCCCTGTATATATATAGAAATACCTATCCTTCATTCGGAATCCTGAATTCCATTAATCCTTTCCTATGTCGTTTATCTGTAGAAAATCCTAATGTTACGTCATGCTGTCGAGACGGAATCTGACAAGACCATTAGAATTCTGTCCACGTTGGTAATTCTTCTGTTTATTTCAATTACAAAATTGACCAAAACCAATATATATTTCATTATTAAAAATGGAAATTATCATGGATATGGGAAAAACATTTTTCTTCTATCTATCTCTGTCACAAAGTCTTTAAATTCTCATCCGAAATTGGTCTTTACAAGCTAAACTGAACCTCAAAACAGATAAAGCGACGTGTATAAAGTTTCGATACTATTAAATTCAAATTGTTTTCATATAATTTTCTAACAAATCTTTTTAAGATTTCTTGTTTACATTAGACTTAGATGTAGATTCCTCATCTTTTCTTTTTCTTTTTGACATAAATTGCACATTCCTTCATCAACCATGTTTACAACAAAATGCATAGTATATCGTTTGTTAAGATGACATCTAGACATCCCATTCTATCTCCCCATCACTAAAAACTAGACATACGGATCTTAGTGTAGGTAGTTTCACTTTCACTTTTGAACATTTTCCTATTGACATTCTGTATTGGATTTATCTAATTTTTCTACCGTATTTTAAATGTAAATACACATTTTTATCGTCTGTTACATTTGGACTCGACTTTGAGTACTAGTTTTAATCAAACGAACAGGATGGGTTTTAAACATAAAACGTCTGCACTATAGACCTATTAATCTATAGATCTAAAACACAACCCTTACAAACACAGAATACTGTAATGTTTTACGGCCTTCCTCAATCACTAGCGAAAATCTGGATACATTTATGTCTTACGTAACAATCCTGCCAAACATTGGTTAGTTTTACGTCTGACATAATAGTTCTCACAAACGGCTTTATTGATAGGTTGTCATCCAGTGTATCATGGTAGAAGACTTGCTGTTTCTTTACGATGTATGACCTTTACTTGCCTCCAATATGTTGAACAGTGGTTAATTTCCCCCGACATTGAGCAATGCCACTGCTGGGGCCACAAGGTGTAAAATTACAGTAAGACGCCACCTGGGTAACCAAGATTTTCTTCCCACTCATCTCCTTCCATCGATTGACATTGATGTGCACCAACAATGTATCGTTTTGTGTAAGTGAATATGAAGACATTTCATACTGGATTGTTCTCATTGTGTGACATAAACATCCTTTATCAAGTCATACGTATATATCATATCTTCTCTATGACGCACGTTTTATTGATTTTGAAACGTGATCAAATAATTGTCTCTCGTAAAACGCAAATAATCATGGAAGAATGCACATACAATACAAATATTGACATTGTTTTGTATTCATGGTAAAGCAAATAAGGACCCTCCCATACATTAATATAAGGTAAAAGGACTGTATTTTGTTAATATTAGCGTTTTCGATTCAATATGATACGCCCATTTTCACAGATATACCAATCAAATACACAGAACTAAAACCTAATAAATAAGTAAAATATTAGAAAAATATGAGGTACAATAATTATGTTGCTTTAATTTTAAATGTTGTTATAGTTACAATGACTAAGTCAATAGAGGTCTACAGAGTGGAGAACGTCCTGATGCAACGATTTTTATGGTGGCTGAAAGGTGCAAGTCTGCGCGAGGCCCGTATCTTTTGTGAAATCGTGAAAACGGGATACGTTTTGTAAACGAAATATCCTTCTTTCTTGGCTATATTGGACTGGCTCGTGTCAGACAATGCGATTTCAACATACTTTCAACACACAGCAATGAAATCCTTCTTTTATACATCAAACGTACATAATGCCTCACGGCGAACATTGCTCACAGCAGTGAAGGTTCTAACACTCATATTATTCTCACCCAAGATATCAAAGATAACACAAAAGGGAAAAATGAATATTGATATTGATTTTCTGTATGTGAATTTGGCACATAAACCGAGTCTGGGAAGAGACATTAAAATTAATCGCATGACGTCACGAAACTTCCTCAAGTATGGCATGTCGTAACGAATGTATGGTGGTAGTTTCCAGAATAAATAGCGCATGGAACATGCATGTAGTAGGATTGGAAAATGAAAAATAATTTGTTAGACACGATGACTGAAGACTTTGATAGGTTTCAAGAAATGAATTTTGGAAAATTTAAAAAAAAAAAAAAAAAAGGCATACTGTGAAATAATGATTTTCGCGAAAATCAATTTTCGTGGTTTTTCAAAAACCGATTCATTGGAGACTTGATTTCGCGGTTCGAAAAGTCGATTTTTACTGATGTTAACAGTTCATGGAAACATGATTTTGTTCATTAAAAGTAACCACGAATTCATCGAAAATAACACCCGCACCCCAACCTCACTGCTCACGAAAATTAATGGTTTTACAGCATTGTGAAATGGAATCCCACGAGGAACCTCGATAAAAACTACAGGAAACGAAGAGATATTAAAACAACAATAAAGTCCTCGTGAATTCTTACAAAACATGATGGTTAGCTAAGGAGATTGGATTCTGGAAGTGTACAGTAGGGGAATGTGTTATGTGAAATACAGAACCAAGACTCCTGTCAAAATAATAGATTTGCCTGAAATCGATTTTAGATTTTTGTAAGATAAACTTCAAAGTGTGCGTTTTTGTAGGCAATATGAATATGGAGATTTCCTTTCTCCATTTGTGATCAATAGAAGATGGTGCAGGGCACTAAACGCTGTGTAGTGATTTGCATATCATTTATAAATTGGAATGAAGTCATTGTATAATTGTGTGTATTTCTTCACAGCGCACTGTGTCGTAACGCGTCAGTTTGATGGTAACACATAATTATACTGTGTAAATATGGTTACCTTGTTTATACTTTCAAATCATCGATTAGAACCTCCATCATACCTTTGATGGAGTGTTACGTTGTTACCATTCCACAATATCTCGAACCTTCTATGAAGTTGTTCGCCTACTCTACAATAAATATATCACGTCTACTGTTTACTATTATTTTAAAGACAGATTTTAGGAGTCAATTCAAAATTATATGTATATCACGGCATAATAGCTCTAACGTTTCATAACGTTATGTGTTATAGGACAACATAACTCCCACAGTGTTTACTTGTAACAATCCTAGGAAGCATTACACCAGTTAAAATGTGTGTGATGTATCCATTTCGTGACATAAATATGAAGGTAAACTGAAAGGAAACATTAAAACTGTTTATTTCTATTTAATAATTTTTTTCCTTTTTTGGAGAATTTTGGCTTTTTAAATTAGTCATAGAAAAAATGGTCATATAGACTTCGTCGGAATTCTGTTTATGTTGTCTTAGTATTATAGTACACTCCTTACAGCATTATCACTAAATCGATATTTAGTACATCAATTTACATCAGTTCATGTAAATGTTTGCACGTTTTTAAAATCGTTTTCCATTTCATCAAATTCTATTGACAAGATTGCATAGTCAATTGATAAAATAACAAAGTCTATATGAAGTATCTCCGTCAGATGGCCTAAGTGAAATCAACATAACAGATTAATAGCTAATGAATTAGTGTGACATAATCTTGGGACAATTTTAAACGAAAATTGATCATAGAATAACAAAAGTAAAGTAGCAGTAAAAGAAACAGACTTAATGTACACTTGCACACAAGTAAGTACATGGTACACTGATTTCAGTACGTCATCAATTCCTACTTGAATACTTACTTCACTTTACAGCACCGTTTTTCATATTCCTATCATTATTGATGAAAAGTATGAAATCTATAGATAATTGAAACAAGGCCTGGTTATACCAAATAGTTTTTTACTAGCAAAATTGAAAAGATTAATGAACTTTGCCAAATATGGTATTTATCTAAGGTAAAACTTGACCAGCTTGATGTTACCTGCCGAAGGTCAGCTATGTAATTGTCCTTATATCATGATACCAGGTACCTGTCAGATAAATAATATATATTGTTATACACGTTGCGCTGCATGTTTATAAAAAAAACGTTTGGTTATCTCAGTAGCACGTGCATGTATTACAGGGTAGTACTAATAGATAGAACATTCTTTTGAAATCATCAAACAGATGGTGAGAAAAACCAAACAAATTGTGATACTGTGTATATCTCCTTAGCTCGATATAGATATAATTTCACCGTAATATCATATTCTTTAAATTTTGCACACGTTTTAAAAAGTTACTGACATAGAGACATGGCGTTGG